CTGAGCCACCCAGGCGCCCCAGTGAGATTGGGTTTTTATCTCAATCTTTTCTTAAGGTTGGAAACATAATTTTGGATAAAAAATGACCGCTTCTCTACAAATCTTGTATTTTATTTCTAGCCATGGCATATGTTTATATTGTTTGGGCCTCAATAAATGTTCTCCAGAGATTACATAATAATAATATTAGTAATAATAACAGTATTAAATACATACAAAGTTATTCTAATTGGCTTACATAATTTGTCATTAAATCTTCCTTTAAAGCTCTGTGAAGTACTATTTTTATTCCTTGAGAAATTGAGGCACATGTAAGTTAAAACTTAAAGTTAGTAAGTGGCAGTGCTAGAATTTCAACCCAGGTTCTCTGGTTCCATTTTGTGCTTTTAACCATTTTGATGTAATGCTTCAAAACAATCAAAATTAAATGGTACTCTGATAACAGATAGTAAGTCTCTACGTGTTGGGCATTGTACTAGCTTTAGAGTATGTAACAAAGAACAAGATAGGCAGATTCCTTGCCCTTCCGAATTTGTTAGTAGCAGTCCTTGTGCTCATGGACTCCTCAGTGTGGTGGGTACACAGGGCCTCAGAATGGGGTGGTGCACATGAGGTTTCTCTCCTGCACAAACCCCTCAATGATATGCCCTGGTTCAGTGATAGAGAGAACTCAGCCCCTCAAAAGACAGCCCACTCCATTTCCAGGTGAGTGTAGTTATGACATGGTTCTTCCCTTTAATAAGGACAGAGAGCTAGGAGGGACTGTTAATATTCCTGGAGGTTAGCTAGCAAAGAGCCTCACTGGAAGCATCACCCCCTCCACATATTTTCTTTTGGAGAAGACTGTAAGGTTTTCCTTAGTAAGAATGCCCTGCTCCATTTAATGTATGTGGCAGCAACTTGTTAGTTACATCAAGAGTTCTCCAACTTTGAGAAGTTTACGGATTTCTCTGTGAGAGATGCTGTTTCCATGGGATTTAGATTTTTGAGCAGTTCACATTTCAGATGGTAAAACCAGATTCTATTTTTCATAGGTAAATGATTTCATATCTACACTAGGTGGCAGTAGATAAAAGAGAATAAAATGTCTGCAAGCAATCTCTTTGGCTGGCTAGGCTAAGATGGAAGGAAAGTGATTCATGCTCAGGTTTCTTATCTTGGCCTCCCATGCGGACTCAGAGCTGATAGGAGGAGGCTGTGTTTTCTGCTGTCTGGAGCCAGAAAGAAACAGAGGTGCTGACAGGCTGCGCGGATAGGCCCTCATCCTCATCCTGTACCGCGCTAACCCCTTTTCTGGGGCATGGGCATTCCGGGGCACACACCTCTAACACAAGTGGCTGGGTAATTATAAAAGCCTCTTAACGTTTCCAGAACTCTAGCTATGCCTATCAAACATGATAAGTGTTTTTAAAATCATTCTGCTCCTCTTCCCACGGGCTCAGCCCTTATCAGCACAGTCCTGGACTGTTGCAGTGTTCTCACTGTTACCCGCCGTTTTTCTGGGTACTCCGCAGGCCTCTGTCAGATTCACCTTGCTAAAGCACATTGCAGGCTCCAACTTTTCTGTGCCTTCCCAAATTCCTTCACCCTTCCCAGTTTGCCCCTTGCCAACCTGTCTTATTACTACCCTGTACAAAAGTATCATGTCAGCATTCTGCCTCTGTGCTCAGGAATGCTCTTTACTTCATCTCTGTCTGGTTTTGTTTTCTAAACCTTTTTTTCAAGGATCCATCTTAAGCCCTTCCTGTGTTTCTTCCGTGGAAAAGTTTTTCTCTCTAAGTGCCCAGTCAGCAGTTTCTTTTTTGAGATTCTTGTATACTCTTTGCTGGTACCATTCATTTGATACAAAGTTCTCCTATCTTTGTTGCCCTTTGTTAACTAATTTGTATTCACAGTCTTCAGTAAGTATTTGATGATGATGTGGATTTTTTTTTAATTTTTTTTCTTTGGTCTCCTTGAATTCTGAAGTAACCTCCTTCAGAAGTAATCACCAATCTAGTTAATTATTCCCTTGCTTTCCTTTTTTCATTTACTGTAATATATTTTAATCTATAATTAGATGTTATTTAGTTTTAGGTGGTTTTAAGCTTTATACAAATGAAATCATACTGTGTCTATTTCTTTATAAACTGCTTTTTCACTTAAAATTAAAATCCTGTGGGGCGCCTGGGTGGCTTAGTCGGTTAAGCGTCTGCCTTTTGCTCAGGTCATGATCTCAGGGTCCTGGGAGTGAGCCCCACATCAGGCTCTGCACTAAGCAGAGAGTCCACTTGAGATTCTCTCTTTCCCTCTGCCCCTCCCCCTGCTCATGTGTGCTTTCTCTCTCTCTCAAATAAATAAAATCCTTAAAAAAAATTTAAAATCCTGAGAGTCATATATTTAGATTCTAAATTTGTACAATCATATCTTGTACATAGTTGTATTTCATATATTTTCACTGCTGTATAGGATTCAGTGAATGTACCACAGTAGTAATTACCACGACTTATGTGTCTTATGTGTCTTTTTTACTGTTGATATACATTAGGGGATTTTGGGTTGTGGCTTTTTTTCCCCACCATTATAAACAGTACCGCTATAAACAAGGCTGGCATCCTTGAGTTTTTTCATTTTCAGAATCTAATAGGTGTCAAGTGACATTTTGCTTTAATCTGCTCTAATTACTAATGTTTCTGTAAATCTCTCCACATGCTGATCAACTGTTAGGTTTTCTCTTCCATAATTTTTTTTCTTGGGATCACTGTCTTTCACATTGATTTGTAGATGTGTAAGAAAAACCTACTTTTCCAGTTTTAGACATAATCTATCTCCTTTTCCATGATCTGATTGTTAACTTTGTGGTGTCCATTGTTAAACAGAGATTCTTAATTTTGATGTCATCAGATGCATCAGGTTTTTAAAAATTCGGTGGTGTTGTTATTTTTTGCCTTAGGGTTTGCTTTTGTGGCTCTTGTTAAGATGTCCTTTTTGACCCCATGTGACAAAGATATTCTTTACATTTACCTTATAGTTTATAACTTCCTAGTTTTTTTTTTTTTAAGATTTTATTTTTTTATTTGAGAGAGAGAGAAGGAGAGACAGTGAGAGAGTACAAGCAGGGAGGAGAGGGAGAAGCGGGCTCCCCACAGAGCAAGGAGCCCAATGTGGGCATCGATCCCAGGATCCTGGGATCATGACCTCCAGTGAAGGCAGATGCTTAACTGACTGAGCCACCCAGGCGCCCCTGTAACTTCCTAATTTTAACGTAACATTTAGGTTTTATAGCCTATCTACTGTCCACTTTTGTATGTCATACAGTGAGCCAATTTTCTCAACTATAATCATCCTTCCTCTATTGATTTGTGGTGCTATTTTTCTTTTGTATTTATTTTCCATGTATGTAGGGTGCTGTTTCTGAGCTCTTTATGGTATAGCTTTCTATTTAGTTAAGTCTTTTTAAATATCTTTTACATTAATTTTATTATTTTTCCCATGAGATCTTATACATCTTTGTATTTTTATTGTGATGTATTTAAATTTTTTTTTGTATTGTAAATGATGTCTTTTTATTCTTTTAAAAAATTTTTTTATTATTGTTTTCAATGTAAGCTCTACGCCCAACATGGGGCTTGAACTCACCACCCCGAGATCAAGAGTCGCATACTCTACTGACTGAGCCAGCAAGGCGCCCTATAAATGATGTCTTTTTAAAATTTACATTTTCTGTGTGTTGAAGTACAGACATGCATTTGATTTCGTGTATGGATTTTGGATCTCATGAATCCTCTTATTAGTTCTAATGACTTAGCAATAGATTCTCTTGGAATTTCTCCATAGATAATTACATATGAATGACAGTTTTATTTCTTCTGTTCCAATTCTTACATCTTACACCTTTTATTTCCTTTTCTTGTTTTAATGAACTGGCTAGGACTTTTTTCTGCATCTTTTGAGGTGGGTCATTTTGTTTTATTATTTTATTTTATTTTATTTTAAAAATCCCTTTATAAAGGTGAATTATATTGATTTTCTAATGTAAAATCAACTTTTTATTCCTGGGATAAATTCAGCTTGGTCATAATGATCTTTTCTTATACATTGATAGATTTGATAGGCTAATATTATGTTTAAAATTTTTGCATCCATGTTTATAAATATAGCAATATATTTTAATTTTAGAATGTATTAGGAAATACCCTCTAGGTTTTACAAATAGCATCCAGTTTCTTATGGTAGAAAAAAACTAATGTTCACTTTTCTTATGTATACACACAGATTAATCCAAAGCTTGAGGTAATTGATTTGCAGACTTCTTCTCCCCCTGTTGTGGACGTCCTTTCTTTTGATTCTACCACAGTAAGTTTTCTTTGACATTTAAGTGGCATTTAATTATTTGGCAAAATCCATTTTCCTTAAAAAGTGTGTGGGAGAGGAGATAAAAAGTGGGCTAAATAGCCTAACATTTTAGCATTAAGAAAACTTGTATAAAAAGTCATATTTACAATGTGTCTAAATAGCCACAAGGGGGAGCAGCACCAATTTTCAGAAAAGCTTTTACTTTGATGACCTTAAACTCAGTCTAACCCGTCCTCACTGTCTCATTCCCTATTAAAGTGCCATCCAAGTGACATTTCACTTTGTTGTCACAGAACAGATTTTCTTCTCTGTTAATTACCTTTCAGAGATGCTAAACTCACTTCTAGTTTTCTCCTGAGAAGCTGTAAAAAAAAGCAGTCATTTCTCTTCGTTCATCCCTCTTGATGGATTATCCAGAGATTAAGTATTTCTAGTATTTGCAATTTTGTTTATAAAAACTATATACATATAATTTATTTACTCAGTGTAAAGTCAGAGATTGAGAGTTTCAGCCTTTCAATCTGAGTCTGTTAGCCTTTGCAAGGCAGCTCATCGCTGTCATCAATTCCTGCTAGTCAGGGCAAAACTAGTCATAAGAATGAGTAGGAAGAACGGCATGCATGGTCTTTGGTCACACTACTGTGATGGTGTCAGTGTAGTTAAATATTTTGGAGAATTATTAATGTGTGGCCAAGAAAGAAAACAAATAAAAACACTTGACATTATGACATTACACCCTTTCCAGCAGATCTCAAGAATGGTATTTTTGGTAGAGGAATTCTGTAGAGGGACTACTCCATGTTGAATCTATCCTGTACTAGAAAGAACTGTACTTATTAAGGGTTCTTTCACTGCTAATCCCAGGCAGAGAAGACTCATAGATCACTCATGAGAAGTTCCAGCGACAAGAAATCACCCTGGGTTGGGGGGAGGGGCGGTAACCAACAGGCTGATTGTCATGCAGAATTGTCACAGAACCTCAAGCAGGTCTGTGGTCCTGTCTCTTATAGTATTCATGTTTATAAAATATCCCTCTTAGCACTTCTGCATTAATAGCTTACTTATGACATTAAAAATTAACTGGACATCTAATTCTTGCCACATTGATTGGTGGCTTATAATAGGTACTTAATACATTTATGTTCAATGACTTACTCAACAAGCATAAATTCCAATAAGATGGGTTATTGCCCCTGTAGTAAGAGGAGCAAAAGAGAGGTGGTTTTTGAGATGTGATGCCTTCTTTTATTTATTTATTTATTTTTTAAGATTTTATTTATTTGACAGAGAGAGACACAGCGAGAGAGGAAATACAAGCAGGGGGAATGGGAGAGGGAGAAGCAGACTCCCTGCTGAGCAGGGAGCCTGACGCGGGGCTCGATCCCAGGACCTTGGGATCATGACCTGAGCCGAAGGCAGACGCTTAACGACTGAGCCTCCCAGGCGCCCCGAGATGTGATGCCTTCTTATGAGGCTGTTAGTCTACGGAATTTGGGTATTCCTGGCTTAGAAGTTATCACAGATCATCAAAAGTCTTTGGTCTACATTTTGAGACTCACTCTCCCTGCTGGTAACTTTGCAGTTTTGCAAAGCCTCATGACCTGAAGAACCCAGATGTTTTTTTTACAGTATGCTATGCAAGTGGCATAATTACCACCTAGCAAGTACTAGCAGGGTATCTATCCCTGGATGGTGATCCAAAGGTGCCCAAGTCAGCTAGTCCATGTTATAGGACCCTGACTCAGAGACTACAATGTATGTGGGACTTTAAGAGGACAATTCTGTATGATAAACACATGACAAGTTTGCAGCTATGCCCATAAAACCTTTAATAAGACTGAAGAGTACAGATACTGTCCACATAAGGATAATACTGGGTTGGATTATATGAAATTGCTATTTTATAGGCAAAAATGGTCTAATGTCAGTGATTTCCCATGGTTCAACCCAGTATAGAAGTATTACAAAGAAGACTCTCTACTGTTACTTAGAGTTGTGTGCTTGATGCTTCATAAAAATAAAACAGAAGAAAACACAGGAAAACAAAAACCTACATGCTATAAATCAGTTTAGGATTAGGCTAATGAAGTCCTGTCCAGGTAGATTTTTTTTTTTAAGATTTTATTTATTTATTTGAGAGAGAGAGAGA